AGTATTACTAGTACTACAGCACTGTAATGCATATACCTATTTTAATACACTACTGAGATAGGCTTTTATTTTTCAATCTTGATTTCAGAGGTCAAAACAATTTTTCAATTTTTTTTCAATCATATTGTGGTGTAGACTAGTCTTTTAAGAACATTTTGCTGGAAATTTTTTTTGGATACGACGCTCCGTTATAGAGTTATGATTTTTTAAATAACATGATGTCAAAACATCCGCCCAAAAGCTTATCTTATTTTTGTTGGTTACGCACCGCTGATTCGCAATGTTTGTCATCACTTCAAGATGTCTACCGATTCGTGAAAAAGGCGTATTTACGTTAAACTTCTCACAAAATCACATATATAAAAAATGAATGAATAATTAAAAAATAGTCCGTGAATGACATTGGTGTGTCAAACCACACCTAATACTTGGTCTAGGTACCCTATATTGACGAAAATTACCATCTCTTTGCGCAATAATTAAATTGATTAGTTGCATCGGATGCAATCCATCATATATGGCATATGTATCAGTCTCCATCCATCAGAAACTAATTACTAATAATAATTTAATTATTGGTCCTCATTCTAATCATTGGATATCTGAAATCTATTAAGCCGTCACCTTAGCTTTAAAACAGCTCAAGTCATGATACGTTATTCAAGTGAGCTCCAAGTCAGTTGAAAACCCAGACGTCAGTTCCTCGACCATGTTGTTGTTGGAAAATATTTTCATTATTCCAACATAAAAATGACACTACTTTCACGCATGATCAAGTAAACGATTTTGTTGCAGAGATCTCCGAGCAGATCTTTCGTAAATATTTCCATAGTTGCTGAGGCTGTTACTGTCTGTACAACCAGATCCAGTTCTCTGCCAAAAGTCATAACTGCATCTGGTAGAAGACTTATTGGAGGGGTACTCAATTTGGAATACTGCTTTATTTTCATAAGTTGTTTTGTGTTGTTATTCATGTGATTTTTAATGTTTTATACTGTACATACTGGGCCCTCTGTGAAACATTCATATTTTACTGTATAGGTAACCCAGTATAAGAAAAAAAAAATAAATTGAAATTAAATTTACCAAATGATAATAAACAAAATTTTAAATTGAACGGCAAAAACATTCTCTTTTATTTTAATAACCCAAGTCATTACCTGCGCCCTCAACCTTACTTTTTTTGACAGGTGTGATTGGTTGTTTGTTGTTAAACAAGGATGTACTGTATACATGTATGCAGTTGATTGACTGTATGTCTTGTTTGCTGAGTACAGCTTTTACCGAATACCGACGACGGCGAGTAAGTGATTGTTGTTGTTCACAATTTTTCTCAAATAAAAGAAGAAATTATCAGGCTTTTCTAAGTTATTTTAATATTTCATTAATTATTACTTTATCTCTTGAGCCTTTTCCAATTCCACGCTGTACTTCTACTAGTACATACCAAGTCTAAGGTAAGTCTACGGTTTCCGAATTGAGAAAGTGAGGACGTCGACAAAGAAGGAAGGGCTAGCCTGAGCTGTAGGCACCCCCTGCCCTGTTTCTGAATTGAGAAAGTTAGGCCTAGGCCCGTCAGGTAACACGTCTAGCTGCATCGGGGTAATGATGATACCGAGTATATGAGGAGGAACTTCCTAATTTGGCCTAGAACATATGCCTAGCTAGGAGGAAAGGGGACCAAGCTTACCTGAACATTGTCAATAATATTTTATACAATATACTATCTTGTTGGTACAAACAACACTAGCCTGTCATAAATTTACAAAACTTTCTTTAATAATGGTTAAGTTTAATGTCTTTCAATTATGATATTTAAGATTTAGGCCTAGCCTAGGCCTAATTTATATTTTCATTTTAGGACACATAGGCCTAGAAAAATTAGATTGTCATTCCCGCCCGCGTCAACAATTTGTGAAATATTGATGCGGGAATAGAAACAATTTTTAGTTTCATTTATTTCAAGAGCTTAAAAAAAACAATGCAATTTTGTGACTGGAAACATATTTTTCTTAAAAAACAATAAAATTAAACCAGTATTTATACAATATTTACAATATTCTTCTACAATAAGTAAAAACAGTCCCTTCCTCATCAATAAAAAAAAAACAATATTCTATTTTTCCGATTAAAGAAAAAGAGAAAAAAAAACGTCCATCCTCATCTCATTTTTTTTTAAAGAGTGATAAATCTAATCATTTTTTATATGTTCCCTTAATTCAATTTAAAGATCACTGCCACCCAAAATGATAATTTTGTATGGTATTATTTAAACATAGGACTACTACATACTGTAATTAAATTTACAAAGTAAAAAATTCAATACGGTATGTAAAAGCAAGTCATGTTAAAGTGAGCTATAGACTAGAAATGGTTTGAATTTGATCTTTCCTTAATTTTTATAGCTATACCTGGTACAGCCATAAAGATGAGGTGCCTCCATAAATCTCATCTCCTCTTAGTAGTCATTGCATTGTTGTCTGTTCATGATGTGTCAACAACCTCAAATGAAAATAATGATGGAACAATAACGTGGGCTCCATTGCCGACAGGAAAATCCTACAATGACATAGACTTTGATCCAAAGTTTCCATTGACGACAACATGGAATTCAATAGATGGTTTTCTGAAATTTATATCACCTGGTGATCCACCATATGGTATGTACCCTGTATTCTATTATACCATTGTTTGTTTATTGACATATTACTGTATTTGACTCAGTGATGCATATCATTTTATAGCTAATATCAGTCATACATATTAATGTATCCAATTGCTCATACTAAATCAAAATATAATAAAACCTGGTTTAACTCTATCAGATTTTTTTCTGCAAATGTGGCAAAGACAAGCCAAACCAGTCACTCGTCGCAAATCCTGTTTTGGAGATAATGACCAAAACATTCTTGAATGTCAAAATTTTGGAAATCTATTTTATTGCATTAAACTAAACTTTATATAATATCTATACATCATGCTATGCTGTTATTTTCCCCATTTTCAATGCTAAAACAACAATTTTTTACAATTTGGTGATGATTTCTGCCTAAGAAATGCCCGAAATCATAAACTACTGTATGAAGGCTGATTTCTTAAATATTGTTTTTGAAACAGCTGTATGTTTAAACTCCTGTAACTTTATAACGAGATGTTGGACTTAAATGATTCTCTTCCATTTTATAGCCCTCATTTTACTGTTTAACCAGGGCTCGCAGAATCGGGTGCCCGACGTCCCGCGGCAACCAAAAATTTACGTTGGGCAACTCAAATTTAAAAGGGTAGGTCCCGACGGGCAACCTCTAAAATATCAGATGTTTTGCAGCCACTGAAATACAGACTATACTCTACACAATTAGTCACATAAGAACGAATGGCCAAGCCACCGAGATTGTGTTTGTGTGTGTGTAATAAACTGTGTGAAAATTCGGTAGTATGGAATGCTATCTCTCGATCGTGGCAGACAGCCAAAGATAGAGACGTACGACCGCCAACAACAAAATGCAGCAATACATGTGTTTGTGTACAATCGAACGTATGGCAACTCGTTGGAATGAGTTTCCCATGCCTGTCTTGAGCTGGCGGCATCCTTTGTACAAAAACCCAACTAGTCTAGCGCAAAAGCAGTTCTCTTGTTTCAAACATGGAGGAGATACCAACTCGTTGTACTGGTTGAAGTAACAGATATAAAACGAGTTGGGAATACATTTACAATCTGATCTTGTATTATTTGTAACTTTGAATTATTATTACTATGATGGTAATTCAATAAAATCGGAATTCATTAAATTATTTACATTCATGTTTTTTTTTTGTGTTTTGTTATGTATGAATTTTATGAGCAATTAAATCGATTGGTTGTTTGTAATAAAGAATGCTGAATTATGTTGTCTCCGTTTTTCAATATGATTATAATAATAATAACTGATGTAATAACAGTAATAGTAGTAGCAATAATAATAATAATAATAATAATATACATCAATAAAATACATTAGTAATAATAATAATAATAACAATAACAATAATAATAATAATAATAAATAATAATGTTCCATAGATTTATAATAATTTTACATTTAATTTGCATTCAATGTTACTTCGGAACACGTTCGAATAATGCATACAATAATAAGTAATAATAATATAAATATGAATAAATAATTAATAGTAGGTATTAATTGTTTATATGATGTACAATATATTATACAGTAGGGCCCTTAGATTTAGCTGCATATGATTCCATTAAATCAGCATATATAGCCTACAGACGATAGAAAAGCAAAACCCCGAATATCAAAAACATTTTAGATTTCCTCCCTGGATGAATAATTTACCAACGATCTACGTAGACTTGCAATCTATGCCTTGATTTAACCTACTGAGCACTGCTCTCAAAGTACACGTGCTCCAGCTAACTTTATTTTCTTTGTTACACGCATTCGTAGTACTTCATTCATGCACCAAGCACTGGTCATGATCTCATCACAGTCGTAAGTTGTTGTTAATTGTTACTAACTTTAGGCGTACATTTCAATCATCACACCACGCTGTAGGCAATAAATCGAAGGTCCATTAGTGTACCGTATTAATTAAGTACTTAAAATAATTATTGAATATTCTATTAATCTGCCTTTGTGGAAATTCCCATCTCAATCCCGATCGTAGGCCTATTAATTTGACACATTAAACTATGCTTGATGATTGTTTACAATTTGACTGCGGTGTACCACGAAGAAAAATTTCACACTTCTTCTCCAAAACCCTATCTGGATGAAATAAATGCTTATCTTCGAAGATGCTGAAAGTTTTTGTAGGCACCGCTGATACTGCTAAACAGGAGATAAACTCTGCATATTTTCTTGGTCTAGGCCTAGTCACTTTTATTTTGATTTTCATTGCAAACGCTTCACACTGCTGTCCTTTCTATGATAACATGAGTTTCTAAAATGTTTCAAGCCGTCATCAACTTATGATACCGACGATGCTGCTGCTGGGTAAAATAAATATTAAATATTTAATTAATTTGCCTTTGTGGCAAGGCCCATCTCGATCCCGATCGTATAAATTTGACACTGACATTAAACTACACTTGGTGATTGTTTACAATTATACTTTGCGGTGTACCGCGAAGAAAACTTGTCACACTTCCATACTCCAAAAACCTATCTGCAATAATTGAATAATTTAATAATTGAATAATGTCATAAAATAATTCAAAATAGAGGGTGGGCAAGTAAAAAATTGTGAGGGCAACCAAATTTGAGATATTGGTTGCCCGAAGGGCAACCTAATATTTCATAATTCTGCGAGCACTGTTTAACCCTGTATTAATAACTAAAAATCAATTTTTGCAATGAGTGATTCCACAAATTCCCTAAGATGAGGCTTTATTTTTTACCTTGTTCAGCAAACTTTGTCTCCTTCATCCCTCCATAGTTCAGCCACTGGAGTATGTACTGTATACTAATAAAAATTTGATCCCAATCAGGTTAGAAAGAATGTAATTCTAGTGGAGTAGAACATTAATAGAATGTGTTGAGAATGATGTTGCTGCCATTAGATTGTTTTAGTCATTTAGGGGAGCCTTTATTCAGGAAAACAAGCATGGGTGTCGATTGGTAGGGGACAGGGAGACACATCTCCACTTTTCAAAGTGGGGAGGGGGACATCATATCAATTGCCCCCCCCCCCACTTTTCACTAATCTTCTATAATTAAAACCCCACATTTCAAAGCGAATGGAAAGAATAACAATTATACATGACTGTCATGAATTTTGTCTGTTCACTTTTCCAAGTGCGGTACGTATTTCCGGACCAAAACCGAGTAAAAATGGAATATTTTTACAAACAAAAGTGCACAATTTCAACTATAAATGATTTATTACTTAGTATATTATTATGACCCGTACGTATACTAGTGTTCAATATTATCTGCATACATAGGTTCCTGTTTTTCCAAATTTCAAAAAATTTAAGTTAGTCAATTGAATTTTATATAGAGCTCTGTTATTAAACAATAATTATACAATCTTTTACACGGACAGGTCTATCTATTTCGATTTATTTAATTAGTGATACCACAAGTTTACTTGTAGCTCCAGTGTTACGTTGACGAAATCTCGCAATGACGTCATAATAATCAGAGCCGGATTTAAGTGGGGCCGAGCCGACCCACCCCCTCCCTTAAATTTTTCAAAATGGAAAAAAAAAAAATTATTAAAAAAGAAAAAACGGAAAATTATAATTAGAATTTAGGTATGAGAGTTCCATTTCCGGCCATCTAGGAGTGTCATAATTAGTAGTAATGGCAGTAATGTATAGTCCTTGCCAAAACCCCAGTTTTGTTTTGTAGGTATAGGGGGAACCCTGGGGTCCAACTTTAAAAAAGGCTGATGAACGTTTGTTAGAAATCACCTGGTTTATGTATACAAAATTTCCTGCATGTCCGTTCAAAACTGGCGATGCTGGACACTTTTGGTAACAAGAATAAGAACAGCAGTGAGGCTCTGGGGTCAGAGCCTTGCACGGACCCAAAAATAGAGGCCTCAGTGCATTTATTCGAGCGAAGCGTTTATTCCTGATGAGGCTTTTGAGGGGGCATTTAATCGACAGTCGGTACTTATAACAAATGATTATGATTCTTGATCATTCGCCTGAAGTTTTTGTAAAACACCTCAATTATAATTTCTATGGTTACTATAATCATTTATAATAGGCTGATCATCTTCATTTCTTCATTGTCGCCAAAATAAAAAGTGATTGCCAGGATTCAAATCATCAGTGTCTATCAACTTTTATTGTTTATTTCAAGTTCCATTTTACATCTCTCATTTCAAGCATTGTTTAAGTAGATGTTCCTGCTGCTTTAAAAACAAGTCATCCATTATGTCGTTTTATTAAACAAAGGGATGATCATTGACAATACTTAGAGAAATTTTAATTTCTCTAAGTATTGTCAATGATCATTCCTTTTCCAACACTTAACAGTGTTGGAAAAGGAAAACATATTTGTGCATATTTTGATCCATTAATGCATGCTTTAGAATTGGTTAACCTATTTTATGTATTGGAAGTTGTTATTACTACTGGGTTTATTACGCTAATTCTTGCTTCTATGGTAACTGGGATTGCAGAACATGTTTACATTTAAAGGTCCATCTTTTATTACCATGGCAACTAGAGTTAGTTCTCATTTCACAAATTAAGTCTGCCTCTAGGTATGTCATATATTCATTGATTTCAGATATTTTTACTCTTTTTCAAATAAAAATTTACATTTCAAGGCCAACACAGACAGTGTTGTATGGCACACCCCGACGCGATTTTTGTTGCATTGGTCTATGTGGGTAAAACACATACCCCATAGGTCTGCTTCAGTGACAGTGGTGTTAGGCAGTATGTTGTCTTGAGAATATTAAACAAGTTTAATATTCTCATGACAACCTAAAAACTGTCCCTGAAGATGAATCGCGTTATACGACACTGTCTGAATAAAAGTAAAATAATTTGTGTAAACAGATGGAAGCTACCGTTTTGGAAATAGTGTCAGCATTTTAATGTGTTACTCATTATCTAACACTATTTAAGATGGAATCTGATCTAGACTAGCCAAAGTGTAAGAATGATATAACAGTGAAATATACAAATCCATAGACC